CGCGACTGCGAGACAGGCATATTGCAGTACTGTTTTTACTGTTTACTGTTTTTTATTTATATGTTTCTCGATTTGTTTTTGTCGGTCTGGTGGGTCCTGCGACAAAGTGCTTCGTGCAAACTTCCCTTCTATTTTATTTGTTTTAGTTGCGGATAATATTTTGAAACAACAAGATCATTTAAGTTTTTATTCGTGCTATTTTTTGTTTTTAATGTAAGTGGTTCGGATAGAGAGTAACTTTCTGGTTTCTTGATTGCACTCATTTGCAACCTAAGAAGCGCAGCGCGAAGTGACTCTAAATTACGGTGGAAGAAGAGATAGGTTTTTAAACGGCGCGCCGCCTCGCCACGGAACAAGTTCGTCGAAAATTCGCTCGCATTTCTGACAAACGCCGCGAGGCGCGCAACATGGCTATAGGTAGGGTTCCGCGTTTTCGGTTTTTATTTTTTCAAAATTCGGCGTACTTTTTTCGGTGTTTATTTTAAAATTTGGTTTTCGGTTTTTTTTTTTCGGTGTATATTCGTTCTCAAGATATTTTACCGTTTTTTTTCGGTGAACATGAAAGAAACACCATTGGACATGGGAACAGATGATCACTCAAAGAATAACGGCACATATATATTTGTGGTCTTCGCTACAACTTCCGTCAGGACACACTTCAAAATCGCGGAATTCGCGTGCATAATCTTGAGCACGCTTCTTTTTCCTTCCCATTCTGGCGGCGTGACCGTCTGAGGTGATGACCGTACAGAAACCAGTGAAATGGCAAAACAAAATCTATTGTGTTTATGTTTTTAACCACAGGGAAGTTTGAGAGAGGGTGATAAGAAAGTATCAACGGCTTTCCTCGATGTCTTAAGTGCATGACACCCGAACTTTTTTTAAGAACAGGCACTTAACAAACTAAGCCCGATCACAGAAAGGACACAGATGTCCCGCGAAAGCCAATCCAAGACCTCTTTTGTTGCATGTTGAACCTTGGAAGAGGGCAATCACGAAGACGTTACACCATGTCGAACCTTGCAAAGCCTTCTCTCCCCTCCCCCCTCCCCCACCCACCTCTCTCCCCTCCCCCTCCCCCCCTCCCCCACCCACCACCCCTCCCCCACCCCACCACCAACTAACCTTTTTTGGTTATAACCGAATTTTAGAAAACGGATTAGACGTACTTTTATCGGTTTATGCCTTAAACGCTTAACTTACAAACTGGCCTTTTTCGGTTAAAACCGAATTTCCAAAAATGAATTCGGCGTACTTTTATCGGTTTAAATTGAAAACTCCGAACTAGCTATAGGTATATGGGCCTCGAAGAAGCGTCCTCATTCGCCCGCGCCTTATATATAGACTGACAGTGCTCTCGCCTGGAGCCGAGCGAAGCCCGAGTAAAATTTCGACCATCTTTCCGGCCTCGTTCAGACTCCTGTATGTCTCTCCCTCTCTCCTATACCGTGGTCTAGAAAGCACGCATTTTACAGCCAATCAGGGTGCCGCGTTAGCCAACAAGAACATTAGAAGTGACGCGCTGCGCTTCTTAGCTGTCAGCGGCTTGTGTACTTCGCGCTTCGTATAAATTAAGCGCAAAACTTGGATTTCTTTTCTTTCTTTTTTTTTTTCTCGAGGTGACAACGATATTGTACTTCGTTTCAAATATTGAGTCCGACCGCAGCATTGGCGAAAGTGCCTGGTCAGGGCGCGCGTTGCCTTTCTGCATTTGATACATAAGCGGCGAAAGCAATCACTCGCGGTGAACGTGCTGCCATCCTGCGGTTTGCTCCTCCGTGCCTGATCCGTTTGGGCGGCGATACCGAACGCACAAAGACGACGCGCTGAGACAGCCACGTTATAAACGCCGTTCGCACACTTGCAACCGAGTAGGACCGAGAGACAGGACCGGTCTTGTCTCTCGGTCCTACTCGGTTGCAAGTGTGTGAATGGCGTCTCACTAAAAACTGTGCAGTACCGGTACTGCACCGTTAAAGTCAGACGGAGTATAGTATTTCCTTTTTCTCAAGGCTTCTTTCTCTCTCTCTCCCTCTCTTTCTCTCTGTATAGCAACTGGAAAGCTGTCTTTCTTTTTGTCTTCCTTTCTTTCTTTAAAAGCCGGCGTTCAAGCTCGTATTTCTGCAGGGCGTTGCGTCGCGACGCTTTTTCCCTCAAACTGAAAGCGTCAACGACAGGCTAAAGGCGTCAATTGTTTTCCCGCTTCCGCCATTTTCTTTTTGTGTCTTGCTGGGCGATTGTAACGCCAGTGCCTAATTAGCATATGCCTGGAATATGGATCGATAGTTTCGCTCCGTTCCCATAACGCCTTCCCCGTTCCGAGTTATGCGGGTTTTACGTGTCAGGTTTTTATTTATGTATTTATAGTTATTAACTTTTTCTAGTGGGTGTGTTTTATGTTAATAAATAGCGCGGTCGTTCGCGGCGCGTTGAATTCGCTTCGACTTATTGATTCCCGCTCCAACGTTTCCTTCAAAAAAACAAAACATAAAAAAGTACCCGCTCATACACAAAGAAAGAAAAATGTATGTACAGGGTGTTTCACGTAAAACAGACAGAAATTCCTAAAATAAAGTGTATTCGAGGTAAAACGATAATTCTTTCGGGACCGCATTACTCGTGGCGTTGACGTCATAAAATGCGTGATACTTACTAATTAGTTCGCTAATTAACTAAAAATGAATAATGAACTTTTAGTTCGGGAAAATAGACATTGTTTCAAATAGAAACTTGCTGAGCGTCATCGAAAAACACTAAATCAGTAATTTGCAGAAAGACTTTGAGCGCGTGAGAAGCGTAGTAGTGCACCGTGCGCGTGAGAAGCGTAGTAGCCGTCGGCGTAACCGCGAGGTCACGTGTGTCCCCCCCCCCCCCCGAGGTCACGTGACCCATCAGTGACGTCATCCGCATCGTCATCGTCCCCGATGACGTCATCAGTGACGTCACTGATGCCGTCATCCGCATCGTCAACATCAGCGACGACACTGATGACATCATCGGCATCCGCATCGTCATTGTCACCGATGACGTCATCGTAATCGTCACGTGACCCCTATGGGGTCACATGACCCCCGTGAGGTCACGTGACCCTCGTGAGACAACTGCGGCGCCGCTCTGAGAGAGGAGTATCAGACAGGATGAGGAGGTGAGGAGGAGGGAGGAAGGATATACCTTCCGCTCAGTACTCCTTCCCCTCCTCCTCCTCCTCAAGAGCTGCGCTCTAATCCGGCGTTGCAGGGCTTTCATTTTTTTTACATGATATGTATGACGACCTTTATTTTCCGTAGGGATGCCGAACACCTTTAGAATAGCTGTGGCTTGGGATTAACCCTCTGCTTTCCTGGTTAAAAATACGGTATGCATGTGCGAAGAGTGAAATTAGAGTTTAAAGCGAATATTGGTTTTGGTCGAAATATTTTCGCATTGAATATGGAATGCTTTTTTTTTTTTTTTAGCATTTCATGACCGCACCATGCTTAAACGAAAACGCAGCTTAACTTGTGGAGCTTGTTGCCAAGCATCCACTTGTCCATTTCTATAAGATAAATTAATTTCTAAGGTAAGTTAATCCGGATGTCCAGTCCCTACATTGGGATGGCAAGTAAACGACGGATTTGACATAAGATTAAACCTATAGAGATGTCCAGTTATAGACCAACTCAACTCAGTGACGTCACGTCAATGCGGTGGCGCTGCTGTCTGTACTGCGCATGCAAGCGCTTGAGTACTCTCGAATTTGTTTTCTGCAAATGCACCTGGTGTGGGCAAAGCCGGCTTGTTTGTAAACACTGTGTTGGTGTATAACTAACCAAGGGAATCTATAAATATTCTTGCTGTATGCAAATAAAGTTTTTAAGTTACGTATGGATTGGCACAGGTTGTCAGGGTCATCTCTTTAACATATACTCGTGCATGCCAGTTTAATCTTGAAAATTGTACTGCAATGTCGATATCAACATTCACGAAGTTTTCGTTTGTTTTAGATACATAAGGCGCGCGCATGAACCGTCCTGCTTTGGAAATGAGCTTTCCTCCTAAGGACGCGGCTGAAGATTTTTTATTTTTCAAACGTGCAGATGGCGGCGTGTTACCCCGTTGAGTGCGCTCGTTACCAGACACCGGTACGCTGCGGAGAAGCAACACCCGCGGAGCTCGTTTCCGTCGGTGGTGGTTCTCCTCATTGCACCGATGTTCCGTAAGAGGCACGCTCAACGTGCTAACCGGCGCATTCAACATTAAAAACGAACAAACGAATATTGCAGTTTATTTCGAAGCGAATATCGAAAAACGTGCTATTCGAAACTAATATTCGAATATTCGCATCAACACTCAAAGACGGCAAACGGAAGTGGCACTTTGGATGAACCACGGTGTCCCGTTAATCCCTATCGTAGTAACTGACAGCTTAAAAATCGGGGGGCGCGGCCTATTATGATCAAGATTTGTGATTGGTTCTTCGATGTTCTCATCTACAAATGCCGCTACCTCATTGGTTGTGAAGCGATATAATAAGATGCTCCGGATTCGCCACGCCCTACTTTTTTTAAGCTGTCAGTATAAGTAGTCCAGCATACCATCAGGCAGCAATGCATTCGTGCTGCCCTTGGTTCTACTCGTTCAAGCGTCCCCGCTTAATTAATCGCTCTTTTTTGCCTTTTTTTTTTAAGGTGAAAGCGAGGTGCGCGCGCGTTGCCGCCACCGCGCTCTCAGGGCGAGTTATTTTTAACGACCGAGACTGGCCCGTCTGGATCGTGCGGCGGCGGCGGATTTCGCTTCAATGCCGAAACTGAAATGAAGCAAGCGCGCTAATTTTCCCAAAGTGTGCGTACAACCCGCCACGGACGCGGTTTCCGTTGCGGCGACGCGCGAGCGTGCTCGGTGGCGAACTGCTCGCCGTAATTAGTCGCGCATTCAGAGAGACCGTGCATAGTAGTTGATTAACTGATATTGTTTCGTTGGCCGCGTCCTTACCGGTGTACCTTTTCTCTCCGCTTTTACAGGTAGTCCTGGTATTCCTGTTAAGCATAGCATCCCTCATAATCTATTTCATTGACGCTTCAAGGTGAGTGTGCTGCCGGTTTATTTCCTTCTCTCGCTGTATCTTTCACTCTCTCCCTTTCTGTGTCTTCCTTTTGTCAACGTTTGATTTCGTAAACTTCGCCAACTTAGCACTTTCAGTGCCATCGATGACTAAAAAGCCGTAGTGCCGATTTTTTTACGTCACTCGCCGAAGGCCAAAACGAGTCACGGATTGGACACGAATGCTGGGTCAGCGTTTGGATGGGGTTTACGTTATCTGTGATTGAACGCGACCTGCGGCCTTACGCTGACGCAGGACTCGTGTTAAGCCTGTGCTGGCCCTCATTAGGTGACGTAGAGAGATCGGTACTTACATACAACCTTGCTGTCTAAGTGATGTTGGGTCTTGTAGGTTCGTTGTGCAAAAGGGTACGAGGGTCACGCTCTCTCCTTTTGCAACGTTTTCGATCTCGGAAGTTATCGCTTTAAACAATTTCGCAAGCGTTTTTCTTTTTCTTTCGGGGGTAACGAGCCGCGTTGGCGCATGAAGACGAAAATAGCGACAGCACTGCTCTTCTTCTTGCGCAAGTTAATTGAATCCAGCGCCGTTAAATTACTCTACGCAAAATTTCATCAGAAAATGAACGTGTTTTTGCGCAACCCAAAAATATTATCACTATCAAAACCAAAAAGAGGAAAGAAAAAAAAGAGAGAGAGCATACCACATGCGTAAAATTTTCAAATCTACCGCTAACATTTTTAAAACTTCGTCTTTTTTCTTCAAATTGTTCTTACGATATTTTTGGACTTTTCGCCTTTTTAGCCTGTTTTTTTATACTTAGCCAGAAAATCCTCCGGACAGAGCGTAACCATTCGCTTCACGTGTACCCGTGCTTCATCTGTGTCGTTCTGAAACCTGTCGTTACGTCTTCTACTTTGCGTGTGTCTTTCCTATTTTTCCCCTTCCTCTAAGCACTCGGGGCCTGCACGCGTTAGGGGTTCGCGAATAAAGGTTCGCATCGAAAAGCACTGCGACATTCATAACCTTCGTAATGCAGTTAAAAGCCCTGACGTGCCCACTTTCCCCGTACTGTTAAAGCTATAGTCACTATCGGCCTCTATGAAAGGCAGAGTGTTACAAGTCCCCAGCACCTTGTTATCGCTTCGCCGCCAATGAAATTGCGGCGGAAGCCGATAAAAAAACTCTCCGTACGTTTATTCGGTCCCCAGTGACTGCAGGAATGAAGCTGCGCTATTCGGTTCGAAGAACTGATTCGCGTACCGTTTTCCACAATGCCACTGCGCTAGGAAATGCGAGGGTAGAACGATCAGAATCAGCCCTTCACGAGCCGTGAGTTGCCGTGCATACATCCGTATTCCGTTTTTGGTGCAAGTATATAGTAAACCTTAAATACGCACGGGGCCAGATGTGCCTATATTTCTTAGGATATTTATATACGCGTACCTGGCAAGGTCGAACTTGGCGGCTTGTTCCGAGGCAAGGTAGTCTCTTGCAGCGTAATACGAGGCTGGATATAGCGAGGCAATCACGTGAAGGCAAAGCCTCCAACAAACCCGAGAATGAAGCTGTCGAGAAAAAAAAAAAAAAAACACCTGCGCGCGTTTGTCTTTTTTTTTTTTTTTTGCCCCTGTTTCGTGTTAGGCGCTTACATGGTCACTGGCAGCCTAAAAAACGCTGGGTGTGGCGACTCCCGTGCATATCATTATCGCCTAGCAGCCAATCAGATTACGGCATTGGCCGATAACAACTCCCAAGAACCAATCACGAAGCGAGGAGCGTGATTATATTAATAGGCCACGCCCCGCGTTTCTTAAAGGGAAGCAACAAAAAATCCTTAAATTCGAAAAAAAATTGTAGGCATCTTAAAAATGATGTGTCATGTTTTGTTTTTGATCTTATTAGTAGGAGCGTCGTAATCACCAATCAAATTTTCGACGTAGCCTCGCCCCCTGCTACGCGCGGAGCGCAGGAGAGCGCGAGAGCGGGAAAAGAAAACAAAAACCGTGTTCTTCGCTTACACCGTGCGAAGAAACGAAAAGGATAGGTGTAGCACGGTCGCGCAATGCGGGTAGAGTGGTGCCGTCACATACCCGAGGACGGAGGTGCGATGTGGCGTCGTGGATGCCACTGACGACTGCCACCAGTGATCCGTGAAGTAAGTGGGTAAGCCCGGTGGAAGTTTCGAAAACTATCCAACATAACGCGTAGCAACGGGACAGTGCAAAGATGGGACTGCGCATAACGCGAGTAATGTTTGAAAACAAGTCTTTCGATCAGACGACGCGATGATTCGCCCTTTGTCGCGCAATTCTTGGCGGAACGCCAGGGCTCTCCTCTTTGCTTGACTTCGCTCGCTTCGCGCGGCACGGACGGCCGACTTCCCTCTCTTTGCGGAAAGAGGGGAGAGAAAAAAAAATTTTTTTCCATTTTTCGCGCGCGCGGCGACGACAAGCGGCGAGGACGAAATCTCTGCAAAGTGTCGACCATAAAGAATTATGACCATAAAGCTTTCGCTTTAAAGCTAGCAAAAGTGACGTCATCAGCGTCGTCCGATGACCTTTGCTCGCCACGAAGCTGGCTCGAGGATGCCGTCAGTGACGTCACGACGCTTTGGATAGATAACAGACGGCGGAGAGGCTCGCCGCATGCCCTGCGGCAACCGCTGCACGTATTTTAAAAAAAAAAATAAATGCGGTTTACGTTTACTTTTGCCCAAGTTAATTACAATAAATAAATTATTAAGACAAAAGAAAAAAGTTTTGAAGTTTGTTTTTAACCCTGATGTTTGGAAATGGCTTGAGCTTCCATTTAGAGGGAAGCTAAAACTCCTGGGGGAGTCAGTTATCGCACTTAAACAAAAATGAACGGAAACATTTCTTTTTATTGCGTGCAGCAATTGCCGCAGGGAACGTGACGAGCCTCTCTGTCGCCTGTTAACTGTTAAAAATCCCTAAGCTGGCTAAGTGGGGAGCAAAGGCCATCGTACCCCGCCGATGACTTTCACTTTTGCCAGTTTTTCTCTCCGCTCTCGCGCTCTCCTGCCCTTGGCACACCGCAACGGGTGAGGCTACGTCGAAATTTTAATTGGCGATTACGACGCTCCCACTAAAACATAAAAAGCAAACTTAAGACGTATAATTTTTAAGGTTGCCTACGTTAAAGTTTTCAGTTGTTCTTTTCAATTCAAGGACCTATTCAGCTTCCCTTTTTAGGCGCTCAGTGACTGTAGTCGCCATTCGGTGAAAATTGACGTGCTTGTGTTCCCTTGTGCTGCTCAGAACTGGAGCCAGTAAGCAGTAAGTACAGATGCCCTGTTCCGATTGGCCGTCTCGGTCAGCCTTTTCACCAATCGTGTTCTCGTAAATAATGACGTGAAAAGACACTGACTGGGATTCTTTGTGGAGAACACTGTAGTTTAGATGCTTTCTGCTCACTATCTGTTCGTCATCGTTGTTCTAGAGAGAGCGTGACCGTTTTGGTAATGTCGGCGCGTCCCGATAGCAGTGTTCGTGTCGTCTGCTTTGTCTCATGTCCGACGGCAGCCAAAAGCTTGAAAATACATGCACACTTCGAAACGGTCGAAACCATAACACGTTATTTTATTGTGGGCTGTAGCTCTTAGTCGGAACTTTCGACTCGCGGTTTTGGCTGCTGTCGGTCTTCAAGCACGATATTCTCATTTTCCAGCGATGCAAGGTGCCACCTCGCGTCTTTCTAGGAAACCACTGTTTTACAGATTTTTCTAGGTTCTTTTTTTTTTGTATTTGTGTAAATGTTTGGAAGAAAACTCTTCGTGTTATTTCTTTTACAAAAAAAAAAAAAAAAAAACAGTAATAAAAAATAAAAACGTAAGCGGGCATTTTAGTCGCATATCTAATTATCCATCTCGTTGAACACTACCTATCTACGCTGGGAATTGCGAATGACATGTTTGTTTCGAATCAGATGTCTGTTGCAAGCAATGGACTGATTAGGATGACGATCCCTTTTGGCTAAGCTTGTGACACACTTCAAACTGATTCTTCACCTATTGAAAACAAAACAACAAAAAAGAGCCAGTAACTGTTTAGCGCCGAAAGGACGAACGAAAAAGGATCGTAATTCTCGTCCGTCGGCGTCATGCATACTGGGTGCCAACGAATGCCGATTAGTTCTTATTCGTTGCTGTTGCTTCTAGAAATTTCAGTTTCGGACATTTTTCTGCCTGGTAGTGTATAGGTAGTGTGTCATGTGCTTCTAGCATATTATAATTTGCTCCGTTTATTTTCTTTTTAGACGGAGGGGCAGATACTGCCAGAGTTCTCCGGGCCGGGCATTGTGTTGCGTAGTATCTTACGCGTCGCCGAGCCTAGCCAGTACCACCGAGAAAACAAAGCCTCCCCTTTCAAACGTCATCAACGCTAGTGGATTTGCGCAGCGTCGCCGCCGCGTCCTGCAGCGTCTCGCAACTACGCTGTCTGTAAAGCGTCTCCGACTGGTGCGTTTACCGCGTGCAAAAAAATGGTTCCTCGATTTCCTCCTAATGACGTCGTAGAAGTGTCACGCGGCCGCCGGTCGCGACCCTGGCGGTGTGGCACGGCATCGGTGGTGGATCTGGCAGACGCCTATTGTGCTGCAGGTCGCTCTCCAGTTTGACAGTCGAGAGTTGGGACGCCGGGACGACAGCGACACTCACGTTTCCCCTCGTGCTTTTATATATATATATATATATATACGCACACACACTCTAAAAAAGGCCCGTGCGTCTACTTTCACGCACTGCACTCGGCGAGCCAATCACCTCAACTTACGGAGGCAGCTTAGCGAATGGCGATGCCGAAACATATGTTTAGACCAAAAAACGCAGTCTGAGTTGTGACATTAGTTATGCAAGCGTGACGTTTTGCATTGCTTATTGTCACAACTCAGACTGCGTTTTTTGTCGAAACATATGTTTCGGCATCGTCCTTTGCTGAGCTGCCTCCGTAAGTTGCGGTGATTGGCTCTCCGAGTGTTGTGCAGAAAAAACAGACGCAGGTTTT